CCAAAAACGCCCCTTGCTTGGAATCGTCCCATTCGAATCATGCGTGCTTTCCAGTGATCTCTTCAAGGGGCTTAGCTATAGACGAATAGTGGTCTATGAATCGTCTAAAATAGTTCGTGAAGCCTAAGAACTGTCTCAGCTCAGTGAAGCTCGATGGACTGGGCACGTCCGGACAGCGTTCACCTTCTTCGGGTCAGGTGAAATATGAGAGCCGTTGATGCAATGCCCCAAGAACAGAACTTCCGAAGCGCCGAATTCGCACTTCGATAACTTGCAGAGCAGTTGGTTCTTCCTGAGCACGTCCAGCACCGTCCGCACATGGCTTAGATGCTCTGACCACGATCTGCTGAATATGAGAATGTCATCCAGAAACACAACTACAAAATCTCGCAAGTACGGGCAAAGGATGCTGTTCATCAGAGTCTAAAATGTGGCCTGTGCATTAGTCAGGCCGAAATCCATTACCCGGTATTGATAGTGCCCAAACGGTGTATTGATGGCCGTTTTCTCGACATCGTTCTTCTGAATACGGATCTGATTGTACCCTGATCTTAAATCGAGCTTCGTGAAATACGTGTTCCCCTGGACTGTGTCAAATAGATCATCCACATTGGGCAGGCAAGCCTTATTCTTCACAGTAATTTTGTTAAGATCCCCGGCTCCAGTCGCATACCATGCGCAAACTGCCATCTGCCTTTTTTTACGAAGAACACGGGTGCGCAATACGGGGACTTACTAGGCTCAACAAAACCCTTTGCGAGTAGTTGCTCCAGTTGCGACTTCAACTCGTCCATTTCAGGCTTGGGGAGACGATAGGCTGGACGTGACGGCGGCGGTGCACCCTCTTCAAGCCGAATCTCATGATCTACGGATCTTTCAGGTGGAAGTGCGTCCGGCAGTTCATCAGGAAAGACATCGGAATACTCACGAAGCAAGTCAGCAACTTCGGGCTTGTTAGGGTTGGGGATACTCAGAGGTGGATCAAGACCGGAATCGTCCTCAGCTGTGACCCATGCTAGGAATCCTTGTTCGCCGTTTCTGAGCGCATGACTAGCCTGACAGCCAGAAATGAACATGTTTTCGATTTGCGAGTCTCCGTCCTTGTCCTGAGAAGGTGCACTTGGCAGGCCATTCCCGTCCACGATTATTTCGTTGGTCCGGAAATTGATTCGTGGGTTGTTCCTAGTCAACCAGGGCTTGCCCAATATCGCGTCGTAGCGGGCGAGGGGAAAGACGGTAAACTGCTGTTTCTCCTTGAAGTCGCTGACAACAACATCTATGGCATTCGTGGTCTCCATAGCGTGTGAGCTCCTTTTTCCATCCGCTAATGTGACTTTCAGTAATTCCGATCCCAACTCTGTTGGCACCTTGTGTCTTCGGACGAACACCTCAGAAATGAAGTCGTGGGTTGATCCACAGTCGATCAACACTGTCGCTGCACGGCCGTACAGTTTGGCTTCCACCCGTAGTAGCTCGTTCTCTTTTTCAGCGACGACACTGCCGACGTGCGCTTCGCGGCTCTTCTTAACATGTTTTTTGGAATCAACACAACTAGTAGCGGTAGCAGCAGCAACATCCGCGGCAGGCTCATCTTCTCCGCAATCGACTTCGTCAACCAATAAGTCACTGAAGCGATTCTTCGTGGCGATTGGAGCGGCAGTGGGACAGGGTGGTGCTCTTCTCAGCGCCAGTGATCGCACCGCTGTCACTGGCGTCCAGCGTTTGGGTGGTGGTGAACTCGCGGGCAATCTCGAGCTAAATGTCCCTGCTGTCGGCAAGCGAAACATCTGCCAGCACTCATCAAGCGATTACGGTCTTCTGACGACAGTCTGGTTGGTCTTCGGATATTTGGCGATCCTGCAGCTATGCCATCTGGTTGGTGTCGATTCTCGGCCGTTACGGTCAGTGCTGCATGTATAGCCTTCGACAGTGTTGTCGGATGCTCCTTGAGCACTTCACGCCTCAAATGGCCCCGAGTCCGTTGACAAACAGCAGGGCGCGCGAGTGTTCGTCTAACTCAGGTACCTGCAGGCTGATACGATTAAAGTCAGTGATGAATGATGCAACGGTGTCCTTCTGACGAGCACTAAATAAATTCAACGATTTTGCTCATTGCTTAAATGCGGGCCATAAACACTTCCTAGTGCATTCCTTAGCGTCGGCCAGTTGATGTAGTGTTCCCCAGCCTCCATGTTCGAAATAAGCCATAGGCGGGCATTGCCCACAAGAAAACTCGAGGCATAAGTAACTTCTTCCTCCTGTGTCGCAAATCCTATGGCTTTTATAGCTAAGTCCATGCTAAATACCCACTCTCGAAACAAATCTGCCTCACCGTGAAATGCTGGGGGCTCCTTGACATGGCGCTTGGTAATATTATCGCGAGGGTGTTCTCTGGTGCTTAGCCCTGGGCTGGATGGGACTTGAAATGGTCTTGCAGGAGTTGGAGTGATGGCGGCCACGAGTCGTCGCAACTCTTGTAGAGCCAGGTACGCTGTCACGGCAATGATGGTGAGCAGAAGCGGAAGGCCAGTACTAGTCAGGTCGATGGAAATCATCCTCTCTGCTACCAGTGTAACCGGCTACTGCGGGTTGAGGAAAATAATGACTTTATTCGTACTGCACAGGGTTATATATGATGTAAAGGCGTCAACTAGATAGGCGGGATGGTAGGTGATAGGCCGAAGGGCCGTGGATAGAGGGGATAGGAGTGTGAACAGCAGGTAACACTGTTACAGCTGTGGTCACTAATATCAGTGGGCACAACCGTTGCTAGGGGCACTAGCGCCGGGTTGGTCAATATGAGATCCCTCATCGTGCCTTCAGGGCACTGTGGAGTTTCACAGGTCGGCTGCATGACGATGTTCTGGAGACCAAACGCAGCACAGAGGTCGGTGAGGTGTTTGTGCTGGGGTACCGGATGGGCTGGGTCCATATTGACATTAAAGTCTCCAATTAGGGTCACGGAAGAAGACCGCACAGCTGCTCGTACAATATCTGCTTCCAAATCTGCCCAGTAAGACACTGATTCCCCCGGTGGCCGGTACACGCAACCAACCAGGTGCCGACCTGGTTTTCCGTTTTTTTCTACCCAGACTGTTTCTGTAGATTCAGAATGCAGATCTGGGCGGGATCGAACTGGGAGATCTTGACGGTAGTAGAAGCAGACTCCGCCACAAAAGCGTTGAGTGCGGTCTTTTCGAATCAGATTGTACCCGTCAATATTGAGCTCTGAGTTTGTATCTTAAGCTGCATGCATTGAGCGTGGCTATTTTTATGCCAGACTGAGTCGGCGTAGATGCATGGGGCACGAAAGGTGGTGCATGAGGATTGAGAGGGATAGTCATAGTAGGGCTAAAATGTTGATGCAGATAGATACAGACAAATGCGGAATAAAGTTCAGCCAATGAGACAGACAATGCAAGGCGTGCAACCTCTAACAAACTTGCAAGCCGTCCCTTCGCCTGCTCTCGAGCTTTCGCTGTGGCATACTCCTCCGAAGCCTTGTGACGAGTTGACGAATGGCTTTGCACTCTTCACTCTCAATCACCTGGTCTCCCTGCTTTGTAGCCTGAGTAATAACACGCCCTGGGAACGTGTGTTTCCCACGAGCCAGCTGGAAGCCTTGGTTATAGGGTGATGGGTGACCAGCTTTGCCTCTACTCATCGGGAACTCGGGTGTGGATAAAGATGTCGTGGCAGTCGCCTCGGTTTGAGCACTCGTGCAGGGAGTGTGAACTCCCAAAAAGAATCGGACTTTGGTTTGTCCGCTGTGGGACGGAACAAAACCCAAGTGCTATCAGTAGCTCATATAGCTAGTGACATTGATCATGACAAGCATGCTCTTTGTGAGATATTGGATCATATCATGTCGGATACCGCTAACCATGAAACTAGGTGCCAGCCGCTAACTGATGACGGTGGTGGTGACAAGGAGATATAATCACCAGATTAGCTTTGCAGATTAGAGATGTGTGTGGGGCATTCGCGTATTTATTTGCCATATTTCCAATTGTGTGTTTAAAAAATAAAGTGCTGTTTTACTGAGGCGTTCGGTTTTGCATGATTCTTGTTTGCATAGCTGCCCCTTTAATTGATCTAACTTGGTCCCGCATCGAATGTTTCCCTAAAATACAGTTTTGAAGACAGAAGTAAGTTCAGTGCGCCATGTTGGGTTTTAACCTCCTGGTCAAAATACATAATGAAGAAGAGGTTGGTGTGCGACTTCGGCGATACTTGTGGAATTGTGTTCTGCTCCTTAAGTGGCGGCTCGCGCTTTTCCTGCCGACTTAAAGTCTAACTCACGACTGCCATCAAAGTATCGCCGAAGTCGCACCAACCTCATCTCCACATTGTTGTCCCCGGCGCAGGTTTGGGAATTAGATTGTTTGGAGGCAACAACGTTGTGAATGGACAACAGTCCCCGGCTTTTTTTCAGCACCTCCATGAGCGACAGTGACTCACGCTGTAATAGTATAGCACTGTATTATAGTGTTCACAGGGTTTTTTGTCTCACAGGAAACGGAGCGTCTGTAAGTTCGCATTCCTGGTGAAGTTTGTAATTGGAGAGCATTACATGAGTGGTGCTCTTCAGGCACAATCTTCCTCAGCCTACTCAAGCTCAACTGATGAGGGGTGTATTGAGCAGAGAGTGGTGCTTTCTTGCAGGTTTGCTGAGTGGAAATCTCAATGAACTTCTTGTGTGGTCTTGGTGGCAGTCCTGAGCAATGAAGTGAGAATTTAAGTAGGCAGGAAAATGCGAGCGCCCACGCAGGGAGCAACACACAATTCCTCTTATCAAAATGCATTAGATGAAAACGCAAAGAGAACAAAACAAGAACTGATGTAGGGATTCCGATAGCAGAGAAACGATGCACATGCTGTGCTGGCATGCACATGGGAAGTGAGTGCAAAAGATACTGGAAAACTAATACAGAAAGCGGGATGCGTATCTGGATACATCAATTCATGCCTCTGCGATTCTACCTCTTCTCTCCCTGCAGCTGCATGTGCGCTGCCAACCGTCAATAATAGTGTGAACTTGGTGGGAAATTTTGTTAACCAAAGTGGTTTACGGGTACATGTATTTACGGTTGAATGTGGTATGGGATATTATGTAGCTCCAAGCGCAACCTCAGGCCGCTGTTCTGGACCTGGAGGAGAATTCAGCATGGTTCCTCGTTGTGAAAGTAAGTTGTTAGGTCGGGAATAGTTCTGGTTCAGGATTGTGAATGTAAACAGCTCCCCGGACTTTCAACATAATTAAAGAAATATGTCCTAAACTAAAACTACCAAACCAAGATTCATTATAATTATTACTTCAGTATGCCAAACAATTTGCTTCACTGAATAACAAAATTAATGCTTCACGCTCATTCCTTGTTTTGGAGTCCAAACAGACGCAGGGGTGTGGTTTTGGTTTATCCTTTTTCCTTCATGATATCACCCTCTAAAATCCCAGGCATTCCTCTACAACTAATTATCAGAGGCATTCCAATTGTCTGGGTTAGAAGTTCATTTTTGGGTTCAATTTTATTTCGGAAATCATGCGTGGGGTATATGCGAACCCCAGAAAACTGCATCGTAGTCAGATGCAATAGGTGGAATATTTTGATCATCTATGACTTGCCTCTCCTCAATTCATTCTGACATGGATGTTTTTCCCTTCCCATGCCAGCATGTTTTCCTGTGTTGGCTACGCATCTGTTCAATCGCTGACCTCACCTGTTCAAAGCTGCATTCACAGCTCAGAACGAAATTTATTTGTATTTCACTGTATCTTGGTGGATTTTCACGATCCATGGCTTGTTAGAAAGATTTAGACCCCGGGAAGCCATTTCAAGGACTCACAGTGTGTCAAGCATACCAGAGCTGGTACTTCCATATCCTCTGCATTTCCCTCTACAAGGCTTAACATAACAAAGCGACTGCCTCTCATGTTTTCTTTCGTCTTCCTGCTCATAGTGAACGGATTTTCACGGTTAAAACTGCTTTGGAAAGCTGAGATTCAAGACTCGCTTTTTTTGAAGCTCACTGCCCAGGCGCTGTCTCTAGGGGAAATTCCCTAGCCCGCATGAAGTCGCGAACAACATATTTAAATCGATTGCCAAAAACTGAAATTTTCGCATTCTGGCCGTTCAATTTGTCGTCGCTCGGTCATACATTGTATCGCGAAGAACTTTTTACACTTGGAAAGCTGAGTTCACAAACCTTCCAGCAGTGTCTCAACTTTAGATATCCGGTGCATTTTGATGGAGTTACGATAGTTTGTACATTCGTCTAAACGAATGACAGAACGCGTAAACGCGTCCATGGCCAATCTGCTCATACTAAAACACAAAGCGGTAATGCTTGTGTAATGAGAGTCCACATGGCATTAGCAATTCATTATGCAAGTCTGAGTTTGAAACTGCATAACAGTTTCTCCAACTCCATAACAGTTTCTCCAACTCCAAGAATCGTGCAATATTGACAGTAACACCCCCCCCCCCCCCCCCGGAAGCACTGCAGCATAAGGATCAATGGTCACAGCAACCTGGGATTGGCGTTACTATCAACGACTTCCTGAGAGCGATTCGTGGCCTGTCCGCTGCCACTGCCGGCACACCTGTAACCCAAGTTGCCAAAGAGAAGGTGGAGTTGCCTTCCTCATCCATCCTGGTGTTTCCTATATTAGACGCCCAGATCTTGAACTACTCGATTCCACCCTTGAGATGTTATATATTCAACTAAAAGGAAACCAGAACCACGTCTATATTATATTCTGCTGCTATCGGCCGCCACGCCAAGATCATAATACCTTTTTCTCTGCCCTGCGGGAGTCCATTTCTTCAATCGCAGACACTGCTGCTCCAGTTGTGGTACTTGGAGACTTCAACGCTCGCCATAGTGATTGGTGCGCAAGTGACAACTACCCCGGCTGGACGGTGTTTAACTGACCTCCTGGACGATATAGGTTACACACAACTCGTGGTCGACCACCCAACGTGATTTTCGGTCTCCGGCCAGAGCTCGTTAGTTTTGGACCTTGTCCTCTGCAACCAACCTTTCCTCGCTGGCAACCTCACGACACTCCCTCCCATCCCTGACCACTGCCCCGTCATTATAGACTTCTGTATTCGAATGGATACGAAACATCCCCGTGCAACAAGACTTATGTCTGAACAACTACGCAGCCACAGAGTGTGGACCACATTCTAGACCTCCCTCTGCTCAACTCTGTGCGGACCACACAAAGCATTGATGAAGCCTGGTCCTCCTGGCATACACTTGTTACCACAGCCATTTCGTTCTACATCCCACAGATGCAACGGAGAACTTTCGTAGGTAACAAACCATGGTTCACATCCCTACACCATCACCTCTGACAGACCGGTTGTTCACAGTGGCTAAGCACTGATGCCTGGACAATATACTACTTCGCCTGGAACTCTTATGTTGCTGCTATCCGCAAGGCCAAGTGCCACTTCTTTGACCACATGACAGAGCGGCTGCAATATAGCAGAGGGTTGCTTAGCTCGTGGCACAAAGTATTAAAAGAGACTGTGCAAGATCAATAGACCACGAACCATGATTTCTGACCTCCACGTAGACGACACCACTACAAGCACTGACTCGCAGAAAGCGCACAGTACGGGACAACGAAAAATCGTCACCAAAATTTAAAATGAGAAAGCAAGTGCACAACAGCCGGCTGTACGGTCGTATTCTGATGCCATAAATGGCTCCCAAGCTCCCCCACAAAGCGAAGGAGAGGTGGAGAACCACGGCAACAATGACCGATTAGCCATTGCAGCAGATGTAGCAGTCGAAACCTCAGCAGTTGACACACAGGCAGAGGCACCAGCAGATGAAGCGGTGATCGAGCCCTATCCTGGGGTATCTGAAGTGCTCATGTAGGTACCTTCACCAAGTGCAACACCCACAGCTTCCCAACACCCAACAGGCCGTGGAAAGACCAGTCACCAGTCTCCTGTCACACCACCCGGAGAGTTTGTTATGGAAGTCAGCAAACACACATTTCGCACAACACCTGCAATGCTCAAGCAACCCGCCCTACAGGTCCAGTGGGCCAATGAGGCTGCCGCGCTTGAGCTGCGACAACTGGCGGCAAGGATTGCAACACGCAGTAGATCGCTAGACTGCAAGATCACCATGTGCTTGTAAGTCTCAGTCATAGTTAGACATCATCTATTTAGCAGTATTTGATTTAGTCCTCCCCTCTGATCACCCCACCACAAACACTCAGCTTACCCCACTTCCTGCCAAGAACATGCTCAACACATTAGTCGCTGTATTCACACCTTCCGACGTACAAGTAGGCAAACCTGTAAAGATAGGCTAGATTAAATCGTTCAGTCTTCGGCATAATATCAACCAAATCACTACCCTTCTCCAGAAACGCAGTTATTACATCCTGGGCATGGCCGAGACTTGGCTCAAATACACAGTCGCAGACGCCGAGCTCTATATACCAGGCTACAGCATAGCAAGGAATCACTGCGTAGGGTGCTGTAGTGGTAGGATGTGTTTGTATTATCGACAGCACCTTCCTGTCACCCCGCACAAGGATCTGATTACAGAAGGTGTGGAGGCTACTTGAATAGAAGTCAGAGCACGCCAAGAGACCCATATGCTTGCTTGTATCTACTGACTACCAGACGTACCAGTGTCAAACTGGCCAAAGCTTGAAAATATCCTGCACAAGGCGGCTCTGGGGACTGCAACCGTTGTCAGTAATATAAATGTAAACATGGACCAAGCTAATACGGGTGCCCAGCGTAATCACCTCCTAGATACTTGTAGAGCATACAGTCTCCACAACCTTGTTACAGAATCAACCAGAGTGTCCCCTAGATGCCCTGCAGGCACCGTGTTGGACTTGATACTTACCAGTCCTGCTGTGGTGACCACTGCATTCGTTGTCCCACAAGCGTTTATTGGTCACTTCGCTGTCGAAGCATGCCTGCAGATAGATGTGGAGCATCACCCCCCCCCCCCCCCCCCCCGCCCTTAGAGTACAGAGACTTCGCAGGCAACTTCAACGTATTGACGTAAATCTCCTTCGTAATGACCTCGATAGATCGGGTCTTCATGAGTTTAAAGACTTTAGCGATGCCGACGCTATGTGGTGCAGATGGTACTCAATTGTTGTAGGAGCTCATGATCCCCATGTGCCACTGATCGAATCCAGGATGAAGAGGAAGAACGGTTTCCCACCCTGGTCCCATGCAGACCTCTATCAGCTAGTTAAACGGAAGAAAAAGCTTCAGGGATGCTGGATTAAAGACCGAAATAACAAGGCTCTACATTATCAGTTTATAATCGCTCGTACTAAGGCCAGTAATGCATATCGCCGCAAACGAAATGACATTTTTTTCATACACTGCCAAGCAACCCCCACAATGCTAGGAAAACGTGGAAGCTATTGAACCCTTTCACTGGCCGGCAACAACACAAGCCTCAACCGAGCTGTAAGCTTGATGACGTAAGTGCTTGCTTTCCAACGGGTGGTCCCAAATCCCCTACGGCCACACATTCTTTCGCTCCCACACGGCCCTCCAGCTGCTAGCGCCCTGGTTGGGTTCGATCCTGTGTCACCGACCCACGTGTATCAGTTGTTGTCGGGGATTGATACGTCTAAAGCGACCGGCAGCGACGGGATTCCGGGTCTCATCTTGAAGCAATGCAAAGATGTATTGGCCTACTCACTTTGGATCATATTCTGTTCCTTGCTGCGTACTGGATCCGTTCCAACAGCATTCAAACTCGCTACTGTAGTACCTCTCCATACATCTAGAGATCCCTCACTTCCTAACTACTATCAGCCCGTGTCCCTGTTGCCGATCATTTCCAAGTTGCTTGAAAAGTCGTCCAGTGCCAATTTGTCCACCACCTAACCACCAACAAATGCCTGCCCGACACACAGTTTGCCTTCTGAACGGACCACTCCACGGAGGATGCCATCTGCTTGCTCGCACATAGCTTGTATGCTGGAAAGGATGGAGGGAAGGTGACATAGTGCTTCCCCCTTGGCATGTCTTAAGCCATTGACAAGGTACTGCACCCTTTGTTTCTGCAAGATATGTTCGACATTGGTGTGAGCAGATCCGCGCTCCATTGGATTTCAAGCTACTTTACCGATCAGGCGGAGCAAATCAC